CACATACTTTGTACTTGTTTTTACCACATCTGGAGTGTGGTTTTCCTTTTTGGGCACTGAATTATATGAGATACAAGCTGGGGTATGATCAAGAGGAAGTAACCAGAATGATATTATATAAGGAACAGAAAGAAGGAAAAAGAAAGGCCTTTTGGGTTGGCATGACAGTTGTCTTCAAATATTCCAAAGGATATCAAGTTGTACAGACAATACTAGGACCTCAAGTAGAATACATCTTTTGTATTTCCCTTTACTAGTGCACTAGCCATGTCTGTCCACCTGGGATTAAAAACGTCTGAGTGGCAGAGGCTTCCTATTTTGACACCCCTGAAGCTTGCCTGGGCTCTCACTGGGCTTCTTTAAAGCCTTTAGCAACTTTTACCAAATTGAGCATTTTGATACCTATACATCTCACAGTAACTATAATTTAAACAATTTTTTGGAAATAGTTTTAAAAATAAATATGCTTATAAAATTATTTGGCCATGAAAAATTAATTTTCTTTACAAGTAGAATATTTGGGAATCTTTGAAGAGTGAGAAAAATCTAGGAGTGCCTGGGTGGCTCAGTCAGTTAAGTGTACAACTCTTGATTGTGGCTCAGGTCCTGATCTCAGGGTCATAAAATCAAATCCCAACATAGGGCTCTGAGCTCAGTGCAGAGTCTGCTTGTCCCTCTCCCTCTGTTCCTCCCCCTGCTCGAGCTCCCTCCTTCCCTCTCTCTCTTTCTCTCTCTCTCTCTCAAATAAATAAAATCTTAAAAAAAGAAAAGTGAGAAAAAATATCTATAAACTGAAATCTACCTATAAACTGCTTTTGAATGTAATGGGATTTTTTAATGTTTTAGGTTGATGTTACTGGTGGACATTTAATTAACTGTTTTATTAATTTTGTTATATATATGTATATAAGTAATTGCTATATACATTATAATATAAATATTCTAGGTTTAGTATTTTCATAATCTTTTGCAAAGCTCAGAAGTCCCAGGCACAGTACCCCTGAGGACAAGTGAATAAAAGATCACTGCCTGCCACAGTGTTACATAGTAAGCACTCAGTAGGTATTTGCCAAATCAGTTAAAATACACTGATTTATCAAATAGAATACAAAAATTTCTGGTTCACTTCTCTGCTAAGAGCTTGAGAGAGGGCACTAAAAGGAGAGTAGGAATGGGAGGGAGAGCAGCTGCTGTCCTCAAATTTCTGGTGGATCCGTTTGCCAAGAAAAGATACATCCTAATTTGGTTGTTAATTGCAGGTGTGATGGTCCCCAGTGCTGCACCAGAGCCATTTCATGTTAATAGCAGGAAGTGTACTGTGATCAGAGAAGCAAACTCTTATTTGGTTCAGGAGTTGAGTCACTGCTCTTCTAAAAAGGGAGGATTCTAAATATACTGAAAGAGGGAGCTAGTCACTGGATATCAGAAAGGGTGTCTTTTTGCAGGTCTTTTTGAAAAAAAGGCAACAGATTAAGCAGTGGATCAAAATATAAGTGAAAGACTTGCCCACCAAGTTAAAAAGCAGACAAGAACCAAAGTAAAATAAAAATAGCTCCAACCCAGAGATCAAGAGGACTATTTTGTCCAAAGAAAGAATAGAAGTAGTCCGCTTACACTCTGCCAAGCCACTAGCTTCAAGTGCATCTTTGTGCGGATAGTCGAGGGTCTGAAAGGCTTTATTATTAAGAAGTTAATGCTTGACAGCAGCCGACTCCACCACAGCAAAATTGCCCTCCTTCGAAAGACGGCCTCCTATGAGTCTTGGGTTAATTACTCAAACCTCCAAATTATCCTTCAGGGAACAAAATGAAGCATGCAAAATCAAAAGCAGATCTGTAGCTGAGATTATGAAAAGGGAGTGGGTTCCTTTCCATTTTAAAAAATGATTATTTCTATTGTAGGAACCACAAGAAGGGAAAGGGAAAGAAAAAAAAAACCTGCCCATGGACCAGGAGGCAATAATAAATGGCTGGCAGCTGTACAGCCCAAGGGGAAAACAAAATCTGCTCATATAAATACTTACAAGGCAGTTTTCTCTAAATTTCCAAAACAAGTCGCCACAAATCAAATTTTTTGAGAAGAATGGAGGTGCTGAGATGGAGACACCCCAAGTTTTGTTGCTAAAGAATATTTTCAGTGGTACCATTTTTGTAAAATAGCTGAATGTGCTAAATCAAGCCACCTACTATCTACTGAAAATAAAATAACCACTTAAAAATTATTTCACCCTCTATATATACACATATCTATTTCCTCACCCTACCTCCCATTTCAGGACATAAATTCATTTTAAAAATAATGTGTTTTGGTTGAGAATCATCATCACTACCAAAACCTTTAATTATTTTCTCTGCTTTTTCCCCCCATCAATCATGGCTGTCAGATACTCCCAAAACTTTTTAGAAGTATCTCTTAAACAGTGGTAGGTCCCTAAACATGTTCTTGAGCAGAGTTGGAGTGGGTTGTCCATGAATTATAAATTTTTTTAATTAAATTTTGTATTTTCATTACAATGGTAATTTAAAATTTTATCTTTATCAGACGAAACATCCTTTCTGCAGTGGTAATTTGCAATTGCACAGCAGTTTTATGAAAGAATGCTTCAGTTGTTTAAATTAGTGTTCATCAAACTAGGGATTTATTCTCAGGGGTAGGAGAAAAATTTTATTCTTTAAAAAAAATCCTTTACACTTCAAAATTTGAGAAAGTGACCTACACTTTTTTTTAATTTTTTTATTTATTTATGATAGTCACACACACACAGAGAGAGAGAGAGAGAGAGAGAGAGAGAGAGAGAGGCAGAGACATAGGCAGAGGGAGAAGCAGGCTCCATGCACCGGGAGCCCGACGTGGGATTTGATCCGGGATAGCGCCCTGGGCCAAAGGCAGGCGCTAAACCACTGCGCCACCCAGGGATCCCGTGACCTACACTTTTAATTACCTTTTTCACAACCAGCTGACCCAAAGTCTCACCAACACATATCGGCTACTCCTGAAGCATGTTAATCAAGTTGATTGCAAGGGTTTCAGGTATTATATGTGAATTCTTCTTAAAATCAGACTAGTAGGTATCTGCATAAATAAAATGGTAGTATGAGGCCTGGCACAGAATATTAATACTAATTTCATATTTAGTTTTACTGATCTTTTGATCTCCCAATCTTCCCTTCTCCCCCCTCAAACAGATGTAGATCCTTTATATTTATAGTGGCTGAGAGAATCTGGGTGATGCCCTAGGGAAGTGTATGAGGTTTACCAGATGCTACAACCAATATTGACCTATAAATTTCTCCAAACAAATTTGGGCCAACAACTAATTAACTCACTCATCATGGTTTTGTTTTTTTTTCATTCTAAAAAAATTATAGTAAAACCTACATAATATAAAGTTTAGGTATATTTGCATTGTTGTACATCTACCACCCTCATCCATCTCCAGAACTTTTCTCATCTTCCCAAACTAAAAGTTCATCCCCATTAAATAATAGCTCCTCATTTCCTTTTCTCTGAGGCCTTGGCACCCACGATTCTACTTCCTGTCTCTATGAATTTGGCTATTCTACCATAGTTCTTTTTGAATGCTGCTCTGATTCTTAAATCAAGGTGAACCAGGAACTCTCTGTGGTCCTTTCCTATTATCTTATATGGACATAGGAATCACTTGAACCCCAGTTCTTAGATGCAGTTCATTAACACATTTGAAATATCCCTGCCACTAAACTCCTCATGCCTTCTAAATTCTTCTATCAGCCCAGCTGGAAGGACTGATCTGTCTGCCAGGCTGCCCTGCCTGTAAATGACCCACAAAGAATGTGCACTCTATGCTAAGACAAAAATGGAGCTGCTTTCCCTCAAATTTGTGGAGGAGCTATTTACAGTTTTTCTGCCCTGGAAGCCCTGGTTATGTCAAAGGTGCAATTTGATATGGGTGGATTAGAGATCAGAATAGGCTCTTCTTGCAGCCTAGGTTTCAAAGGATTCCTCTTGGCTCATGCAGAGCTGAGAACTAGTAAGGATGGCTCTGCCATGTTCTTTGCTTTGGAAATGGGCTATCAGCTGGAGTGCTTTTTGCTAATGGACAGGCAGAGAGCATCTGGAATAGCAGCAAGGATGGAATAAACGTCACTATTATTCATACTTTGCCATTGGTTACCAAAAGTCATCCTATTCTATGCTAAACTCTGACTTGATGAGATGGGATGTTATAATCAGCTATCAAAGTCAAGATACACTAGATGCAAACCCAGAGGCGAAAACACATTATTACAATGAAACATGAAGGAGCAGTTTTCTTACTCTAAAACTTTCTTTTCTTACTCTAAAACTTACATTACTTTTTGCAGCATCTGTGTGAATACACCTCTAAAGGCCCTATGCTTGATTTCTTCTATGCCTACATTACTTTTCTTCATTTGTTCTTGATTGACATGGGAAGTGATAACTGGACTTAGTGGGGGGAGTTAAATTGCTTTGGAGAGAGACTAAGCAGAGAAGGGAAACTGGAAAGGAAACAGAACTATGCATATTTTCCTTTTATTTATACACTTCATAAGTAATATGCCAGGTATAGAGAAAGAAGGGGAATCTTAGATAAATAAAATGAGCCATTACAGAGAAAAATCTTGGGAACTAAGAAATAAGATTCCATTAGTTATGTAAAGCCTTGGATTAACTACCAGGCATCCAAGCTTAATCCCAACTTGGCTTTAAGAGCAATAGACTAGAGTCTGCAAACCTCGTTCTTAGGCTACACTTGGCCACTATCTCTATTACCTTGGTCAAGTAAGAGATCATCTTTGAGGTTCAGCTTTCTTATATATGAAATGGAAAAAAATAACATCTGCCAGTCTGCCTTGAATTACTATAATGTTACTTTGCATATAAAAATTTACAACAGTATACTTGACTTATTTCTTCCAATTTTTTATTGCTCTTGTCACTTAACTTCTGCCTATTTTATAAACCCTATGATGCATTTAAAAAATTTTTGTCCACAATAGCCAAACTGTGGAAGGAGCCTCGGTGCCCATCGAAAGATGAATGGATAAAGAAGATGTGGTTTATGTATACAATGGAATATTACTCAGCCATTAGAAACGACAAATACCCACCATTTGCTTCAACGTGGATGGAACTGGAGGGTATTATGCTGAGTGAAGTAAGTCAATCGGAGAAGGACAAACAGTGTATGTTCTCATTCATTTGGGGAATATGAATAATAGTGAAAGGGAATATAAGGGAAGGGAGAAGAAATGTGTGGGAAATATCAGAAAGGGAGACAGACATAAAGACTTCTAACTCTGGGAAATGAACTAGGGGTGGTGGAGGGGGTGGAGGGCGGGGGGTGGGGGTGAATGGGTGACGGGCACTGAGGGGGACACTTGACGGGATGAGCACTGGGTGTTATTCTGTATGTTGGTAAATCGAACACCAATAAAAATTAATTTATTAAAAAAAATTTTGTTTTCAAAGATCGTTGTCTTTCAAATAAACTAAGAGAAAACTGACATCATTTATATTTACTCATGTAATCATCATTTTTGTCATTTTCCATTCCTTTCTGTAGATCTGAATTTTTATTTGGTATCATTTCCCTTTGGCCTAAAGACCTTTCTCTAATATATATATATATATTATAGTGCAGGTATAATGTGACAAGTTATATCAGGTTTCATGTATCCAAAAATACCTTCAATTTCACCATCATCTTAAAATGATATATTCCTGGATATAAAATGCTAGGTTGACAGGTTTTGTTTTATTTTTTTCTTTTCAATACTTTAAAGATGTTATTTCTTTGCATTGTATTCTAAATTGCATTATTTATAATGAGACATTAACTGTCATTTATGTTGCTATTACCCTGTATGTAATGTGTCTTTTTTTTCTTTTCTTAATGCTTTCTAAATTTTCTCTGTGGTTTTCAGAAGTTTGACTATAATATACCTAGATATAGTTTCCTTTGCATCATTCCTTTAGAGACTTTTTGAGTTTCTTGGACCACATTCTTAAATCTGTGGGTTGATAATTTTCAAAAATTTAAAAGTTTTCAGCCATATTTCCTCAAATATTTTTTTCTGCTTAATTCTTTTTCTCCACTCTTGCAAGGACTCTAATTGCTTATAGATCTCTTGGTGTTATCCCACAAATTATTGACATTCTCTTTTTTTCCTTAAAATTTTCCTCTTTCATTTTTACTTTGAATAATTTCTTTTGACCAGTTTTTAAGTTTACTGATCCTTTCTTGGGCAGTTTCCCATTTAGTGTTAATTTTACCCAGTGATTTTTAACCTTTAAAGATTCTAGATTTTTGGCTCTAGAATTCCACTTGATTCTTTTTTTAGAATTTTAATTTTAATCCTTTTTTTTGTATTTTAAAAGTATTTTTATCCATTTTTTATTCAACATAATCACCTTTAAGTTAATGATTTAATATATTTATAATAGTTGTTTTAAAGTCCTTCTCTGCCTATTCCAATAACTGTCATTGCAAATCTGTTTCTAATGGCTGTTTTTTCTTAAATGTAGTTTGGTTTTTTTTTTATTTTGTTTTGCTTTCTTGCATGAATATAATTCTGATTTTGGGACACCGTATATGAATGTTCTTATGCTGGCTCACAGCTTTAACTGTATCAAGTTCACCTGTATTTAACTCCACCTTCCTCTTCCCAAACTGCTATTTGATATTGTTGGTAGTTAAGGTGGGTGAGGATTGGCTGAAGTTTCAGATATTTTTAGTTTGTTTAACTTTGGACGAAACTTTGGCAGGGCTCCAGAATGTGCAGAGTTGTACAATTTCTCTCTGCTTAACAGTCACTCCCCCAATTGCTATTTTTCCCAGCAAACCTTATGGTGGATTGTGGTGGTATCGGAAGAAGAATTTTTGATCCAGTGTTCTGTTCTTGCCTTTGGGATTCTTCAGATTCCAGACCCTCTAGCCAGAACACATTGTTTTATGATGCTTGGCCAATTTCCCTCCATCCCTGGAAGATCTCTCCATCTGTACCCAGTTTCTGTCTATACTTAGACCAGGTATCCGTAGATATAGAAGCTATCACAGCTTTCTACTTACCTATGAAAAGCTTATTTCCCTTGGAATTAACTTCATCAAGCCTTCATTGAATGCATCCTCCCTCCCCTGCCCCATAGAAAAGTATAATTTTTATTTTTTCTGGGACTTGTTTGTTGTTACTAAAGGAGGGATACTCTTTAGCGTCCTTCTACATCCTGACCAGAAGCAGAAATCTCAAAGGAGATTGTTATTAACCCAAGTGTTTGAGAGACACTCGTTTGGGAAGACCACCTACTTTTAGCAAGAAGCTATTGAGTCTGTGTACAAATCATAGTACTACTGTCAGCTTTTTCTTGTATTGTTTGCATCTCTGGCCAAAGCTACTCCTTATATCTTTTCACATTTTTCCTTCATCTAGCCATTCTCTGACTCTTAAAGTAAGATGATTTGTAGTAAATACATAGGTTTGTCTTAGCTATAAAAACCCATAGGAAATCTGTAGATCTGTGTTCTGCTATCATGGGGGTGCCTGGGTGACTCAGCTGGTTAACCCTCTGACTCATGGTTTTGGGTCAGGTCGTGATCTCTAGGTCATGAGACCCAGTCTGCATTGGGCTCCCCACATAGCAGGGAGTCTGTTTGGGATTCTCTCTCTCCCTCTTGCTCTGCCCCCCTACTCTTGCTCTCTCTTTCAAATAAATAAATACATAAATAAATAAATAAATAAATTAGTTAATTAATTAATTAATTAATTTTAGGAAACATGTTTATTGTTATAGTGGAAAAACACATGGAATGTCTACTTTTCAAAGATACTGTACTTTAGTCCAGAAGCTACCCTTAGGACATCTCACAAACTTTCTAGGTCACCGTCTCCTAGTTTCTAATATGGGAGTTTGCACTAAATTACCTCTAAATATCTTCCAGTTCTAAATGTCAGATATAGGTAGCTCTCGATTCTCTTAAAGGAGGATAACTGAGTTGATAAAATTGACCAAAGTATGCACGCCATTGTCCTTTAAGTTGCCAGTTCTAATTCAGCTAACCTGTGGCTAGAATTGGCCTGACCTGGTTAGACTGGTGAGTTGTCCCACCTTTCTATTACTTTTTTTTCTCTTCCAGCCCTGTGAGTGCAGAAGAGGAAGCAGCCTCTAAGTCTTGCCTCCTGGAGTCTATCAGGAGGCATCCTGATCCATTATTCTCTTCTAATTTGAACTTCTTTATCCCAGAAAACATTAACCACAATAATTTGGTATCTCTTCAAGATTAATAATATCATTTTCATTCAAATAATCAACATAATTTTTTTACCATTATAGTATTAACGCTGTAGTATCCTTGAGATGTGGTATAAAAACTTAGGTAAATGCCTGGGTGACATATTCATAAGGGGCTCTTTAGGGAAGCCAGGAAATAAGAATTCCATTCTTAATATTTCAAGGAATTTGTCACTATGATAACTGCTTTGCTTTCCCATAGACTCCTCTTTCTCCCATGAATCTTCAGTTTTGCTGCGGCTTGAAGCTTTTAGTAATCAAATAACAAGTTTTCCGAGGTTTTTTATGAGCTTTAGATTTTAACAAGCTCATGTGTGCACCTTATCTCCTAGCCTGATGACAGCCTTGTGTGTAATAGGATACTAGAACTAGCTATGAATCTGGTCTGTATTGTCATCAGTCATGGAATTCAACCAACTAACCAAAAGCAAAGTTCTGATTTGTGCTAGAGTGAGTATGTGTGACTGAAACGAGATTTCTATTAAAATTTGACTGGCTTGATTCCTTGAGAGATATCTAAATAAAGAAAAGTCTTCCAAGGTTAAATATTTTTAGAAGATAATCATCTACTCTTGAAGAGTCACAGTGGATACTAGCGTATTTATTAGTGGCTCTTCAATAAAGAAAATTATTTGCCATCTTGTTCAGTCCAGTGGTTCCCCAAATTATTTGATTATAAACATTTTTTCCTACCTTGAACACACTGGAATCCTCTGAGGTTAAGTTAACCTGACAAACATTGAGCCGGAAATCTGTGTGAGAGTGAAGCCAAGTGTGTTCTTATGATTCTATCCCACATATGAAGGTATTCTTCCTTTAAGTACAAGAGTAGGGTTGGAATAGCACAGTAGCTCTGTCAGATGGACATATGGCCAAGAGAGACTGTGATCCCTAAGCTTGCCCCCATCTCTCTTTTCTACAGTGAACCTTGGTGACATAAGCTTGGGGCTGCATTTTTCTCAGATGTATGAATTCATAGAGCCAAAATAAACAAAACTCCAAATGTAAACAAAAAAGGTCATGAGTCATGAGTCCACTGCTGCCCTGTGCCTACAGCAAGTTTTACACTTAGTCACTCCTGTAAGTAGCTATTCCTAACTGGGTTGCCTATGGGAATAGGAAGTCATTGTGTTAACTATTGTACTCTATAATTCTGAAGATATAATTTATGAACTATTCCAGAGGCCAAGAACAGAATTGTCCCCATCAGAAGCCATAGCACTTTAAGAGCAATGAAATCCCCTCTCTGTAGCAAAAGGAAAAAACAGACATTAAGAGTTTTAGAATCTATTTACAAAATATACTAAGTGCACATGTACTGAGGTGATGGCTAAGTTTAATGTTGGTCTAAGATGCCTGTTGATATTTTAACGTTTGACTGGTTGGTTCTTTCCCATGTCAGTCTCCCACAGTTAACCTTGACTCTGTTGTTGACCTAACCTGAGCCTTGCATACTTTTCTGCTACATCAGGGAAAGGTTAGGAATTTATAAAGCAAAGCAAACAAGCCTCTGAGGTTGGTTACTGTAATGGTTACTTTCCTGTTGGGAATTTTGAATCTAAAACAAAATGAGGAGATCAGGCTTATATATGGCAGGCAGTTTGTGAGTATGTAACACAGTTTATGCACAAGGCACTGCAAGGAAAGATTTGCAGAAATGGGGCCCGTTTACAGTATTCAAAGGACCAGTCTGCTTCTAACACACACATTTCTGGACATACTTTGAAATGAAACATACATTGACGGGGCATTAAGTTGCTTAGATACAAGCAATTTGAAGAGATAGGAAATGTATCCATAAACATGGAACATTGAAAATGTATCCATAATACTATAAACAGTATTCTAAAAAGTACCAGTAGAAATGTT